TTTATGTAGGTCTGCGCCTGCTTAGAGAGCGCTTACCGATTGATATATAGCTATTAAGAGATGTTCTGATTAAATAACATGACGCACGCCACTCTAGATAGTACAGGACAACGCCGCTAGATGTCTGTGGTGTCGCTTTTGGTCACATTGGTCTTGTGGATGGCATAAAAGATGATGATTTTGTAAGGGGATTGTGTGGATGTTGATAGGGGAGAATGGAAGGAGACATTGTGTCGACTACCAAGTTGGGAGCTTGAGTTATCTCAAAAATTATTATGTTGATGACATAGAAAAGTCGTCGATAATACGACCTAGTAAGGCTAAAGCTTTTTATCCGACTTCAGAAAGAAAAATAAGGAAGATCTCAGTAACTAGACCTGCATGTAGGTATGTCTCTGCGCGATTAACTGGACCGATTTTGATGCGGTTTTCAAAAAGTGTATGTTTTATTTAGGAGAAGGTTTTAGTATAATATTTCACCAACTTCAAAAACAGCAGCAGCATGCTAACTTGATAGGTTTTCTTTTTGGGGGGAAAACCATCGAATGATTGCTCCCGCCTGGGTGAGGCGGGAGGGACTGTCAGACTCTTACAGGCGAAAAACCACCCCGTTCCTTCTCCTGCACGTCGAGCCGGAGCCCCGGTTACCCGTTAGGTTCTCCGCGACAACTTGATAGGATAGGTTAGCATTTAGCTACTATCTCGCTTGGTGGTGAGCGATATTCCAGCCGACTATAGAGGACGCCTACCGTTAAGTAACCCATTCACTTGAGACTTGATCACACCCATGACCCGGGCTATACTGATCTAACTCTATTATTGGGTTTTTAGTTTTTTTGTTTTAAAAGCATGGAATCTCGAATCGTGCCTGGTGATGGCCAGTATTATATGTACGTAATATCTATGGTCATGACATTATAGCATTTCTTTCATACGACATGGGACCTCGGAACAATAACTAGGCATGGAAGCCAGGCTAAAATAGTAATTTACAAACGTATATCTGATGCTCTCGCTCTTTACACAATTTTGCGTAGGCGAGAATGAGACCGCAAACTAAACATAGTTCTATAATAATTTGCAGGTTGTCACAACTTTCAGTGGACTCATTACAATCTTATGTCATTGGACTTATTCAGCATACTACCAAATTCAAAATCACGTTTTGACGTTCTATGTTTCACAGTTTCACTCAAGTTTGACACCTTCCTCACTTTGCCGGATTATAGTACTGAAGTGTCACCGTGGTTGTATTTACGGCTCCTGATTATAAAAAATGTTTTTTATGGAATTAGCGCAAAAGAAAGGAAGAAAGGAAGTGTATGGTCGTTCTTTATTATGTGTTTTCCTTAATAAAAATACGTCTTGTGTGATTGACGGCTGCAATTCACATTTAGGAAGAAAAGAAAACAGTGGTGAAAAAATACACTTTCATTCGTAAGTTTTTGATATGTTTTAAAATAAATTATATTGGAAATACCGGTAAACTATAAATAAATGTTACTTATTTATTGTCGTACTTTTCAATTGTAAGCCTAAACAGTATTATTCCATCTTTTCCTAAAAAATCTAAATCAATTTTCTAAGTCAGTTTTTAAGCTAGTGATGTGGTCATGTTACATATCGATATTTTAGTTAGGCTTTGAAGTTCTTTATAGTATAGACGTCGTTTAGAACCCGAATCACATGATACCTTTGATGATTTGACAGACCACGACTACATTTTGTACCCATCATCTATTACGGAATATTCTAAAAATGTCATAGAATACATAATCGGCTTTATTGGAAAGAAATTAAAAAATCTTTACAATGCGAAAAATGCATAGAAAGTCTTGAAAACACGGAGAGTATTCCTTAAAGATCTTTGATATCTTTAAATATAGAGGTAGAAGAGGCCTATTTAAACCAACATATGGCTTAACCAAGATCTGTCAGCTGACCGAAAAAATTATAAGAGAATATCAAGTGCATATTGATTCAAAATCTCTCGGTAAACCAAAATAATTATTAGATTGATTAATAAAGTTTCAGCAAATGTGTTGCCGTCAGAAAATTTTCGAGAAAAAAAAGATTATTCATTAGAACAATCTTTCTATGTTGATCACAGAAATCTTATAAAGTCCATAGCACAAAAATATTTTAAACTTAGGATACATTTTAACAAAGACAATTATATTTAAAAGTCAATGATAAACACATAATAGTGCACCACTACCACGGTTTGTAAATATGCTTTGTTTGTGAGCAATTAAATTATCTTTTTAATATTGTGTTTTATTTTTGAACCCACGACATCCAGATTAAGAACCTAATGTACGTTAGACCACAGCAGCAAAACTTTCAGGTACCATAATTTATCGATAAAATATATTAATTTATTCCCATCACTAGCATATTTACAAGTAGTGACAACCTGCATAATAACGAAACGAAACAATACACATATCTCTTTCTTATACACTATCAATACCATAAGTAAAAAAAAGATGAATATATGGAGTGTAGTTGTTATTTTAGTCTGGCTTCCATGCTTTAGTTATTGTTCCGAGCATGGGACTCATAACATAAAAGAATGAATGAAAGAATGAATAAATGAATGAATGAATGAATGAATGAAATAAGTTTATTCGGCATAAAACATGCACGCCAGAAAAGACATAGGTATAAATATAAAAAAGTATAAAAACATAAAAATTAAAAGATAAAAGTTAAATTACAAAACTAAAACAAGCCAATAATTCAGGTGGCGGTGTTGGTGGACATATCCAATCCGAACGGGTCACCAACTCAGCATAAAGCTGGGCACAATAACATGTGCTGTGTGCACCTCAGCAAAAAAGGTACGAGGTTTACCTACTCCAGTCGAGAGCTAAACAAAACTGTCGCCATCCTTACAATGCGACTACCCACCGTGTCAGTGTCGCGTTACTCATTGTCATAGGGTACTAAGCAGCTCTCGCAGTTTTGGTTTAATACAATCAGAGCGAGAAATTACTTTGAAAACAGTAGGTGGTCGTGGTCTAAAATTAAAATGTTATTAGGCGGGCACACATTTAGACACCGTCTATAGTTAAAGTCGAGTTTGGTATTTGTAACACTCCCACCCTTACTATTTATTTTTTTAATATTTTTGATGTATACGGCGGACACCGTCAACTGTGACTGGTCAGCTCCAGACTGCATTATTTATTGTCTTTAAGGTTTTCTTTTTCGATCTCTTTCATTGGATTTTGGTGTTACATTGTTCTCGCACAATCGAACCAATAAAACTGTGTAACTGGAGAATTGTATTGGGAACCTGATTGAAAAAGAGTAACCTATGGAGTTTCTTGCTCGTTCTTCTCCGTAAGTAGGAATCTACACCTTGGAATGAGCAAATAGCTTCACTTTTAAATTTCTATTCCTGACGTTCAAAAGTGCCTTCCTGGTCTAATTGAAATAAATGATTTTGACTTTGACTTTCACATTTTGAAATACTTAAGGGTCCAATGAATTGTGTGGGGATGAGGCGGGTGTGAGTGTCAGCCTCTTACTGACTAAACCCCACCTTTTTCCTACTTTCGCTTTGAGCCGGATCCCCGGCCACCCGTTAGGTTATCCGCAGCTGCAGTGGTCACGTACTGCCGTGCAAACTGATCATCAAGGGACACACACGTCTCCCTAGGATGTGCTGTAATAGACATTTCACCGTGCGTGGGGGTTCCGGAGTAGGTCTCTTTAGAGGACCCGATGCCCCTTCCAGGTGCTGAGGGTAGCCACAGGAGTGGTCTTAGTAAAAAAAAGGTTACCCGCAGCTCCGGATTTCGGAATAGGTACTTACAAGTATTGAATTTGAAAAGGTCGCTGTATTCAGATCGCTTCCAAGCTCGCGATGCCTAGTCATTTGGGGGAGGACTGTGGGAGGCAGTGTCTGTGCGTTGCTAATATGAAGGTAGAATTTGCTAACTAGTTGGAAAGTGAGGGTAGACAAAGTGAGAGGTTCAAATAAATAATAAAATATTGCTTTATTTGCTTACGATAAATACTGTATATAGGGAAGAGTAATAATAACTATAATACTATAATAATAATACGTATATACAATATGGAAAGAACACATTTACTAAAAAACTCAATATTACATGGAGCTAAGTACGTGTGTCGCCTGGACAGTCTACGCTACTTCCTTGTTGACTGGACAATCTCTGCACTACATGAGCTGCCGTTTACATGTGAACATTAGCTCATGACGATACCTAAGTACGTGTGTCGCCTGGACAGTCTACGCTACATCCTTGTTGACTGGACAATCTCTGCACTACATGAGCTGCTGTTTAAAAAATTATACTTAGCAATGTGTTCATACAATTACAAGTCAGTGGTTTATTCGTCTTTAATAGGGTTTTACAATTTTAGTAAATAATTCGAGTAATTAGTTTACATAATAACATCAGATATTATCTTCAAGCTTTTCTTCATCTTATCCTGAATAATTCTAGAAAGAAAGAAACGTCAAAATGAGGACAAATAATGCATGAATTTTTTTTAAAGGACAAATAATATCATCAAATGACTGCTCCCGCCTGGGTGAGAAAGGAGGGAGTGTCAGACTCTTACTGACTAAAAACCACCCCGTTCCTTCTCCTGCACGTCGAGCCGGAGCCCCGGTAACCCGTTAGGTTCTCCGCGGCAAATAATAAATGAATGGAAGAAAGAAAGAGAAAATAGGTAAGTAAATAATAGAACAAGAAAACAAAGAGAGAAATAAATTATATGGCATTTACTATAACTGCCACGGTTTTAGTTAGCAACAGAAAAATTATAAGATAAAATGAGTAAGTACCTACTTTGATTGTAATTTTAAAAAAAATCCAGAATGAAATTATTTGAAATTATTCATTGGAATGATTAAAACTGAAACCAATCGTGGACATTTTTGATATTATCGAGTTTTAATTAAAAACAAAGATTAACTCGTCGAGTACCGGTTTTGTAGACACAATTATAGAACAATAGGTTGCGGTCACCGGTGACCGCTTGGTGTTTGACAGTTTAATCAAGATACTTTGAACTGATTAATTAATCAATTTTTGCTGCAAAAGCAATCAGAGAAAAGCTTGAAAACAAATAACTCAAAATAACAACTAAACAATCTGTACATAATTCATTATTACGTTTGATTCGTCTCCACTTCACTGCCATCCATACTAGCTTCATTCCCCACAACATTATTATACCGTTTGCGCATTGAAGTATCAATATTATGTCTTCGTTTCATATGTTTCTTAAAATTAGACCCATTCGTAAAGTCCCGCTGACAATAAACACACTTATAGGGCTTCGCACCAGTATGCTGTCTTAAATGTAAATTCAAACGGGTTTTAAATCTAAATGTTTTGTTACAATACTCACATACGTACGGCATTAAGTCTGTATGCACTATAGAATGAGATTTCAAATGTCTTTTGACACGGAAACTTTTACCGCACTGTTCGCAGACAAATGGTTTAGCACCGGAGTGTAGACTGATGTGAGACTGGAGGTTCCCTCTTGCTCTGAAGGCCATCGGACAGAATTTACACTTGAACGGTTTCGTGTCTTCGTGCGTCAACATGTGGGTACTCAGAGTTCCTTTAGTAAAGAACATTTTGCCGCAGATGTGACAAGAGAAATCTCTACTGCGCTCTGTGTGGACAAGCTTGTGCTGCTGTAAGTTACTTCGTGACTTGAATTCTTTTTGACAATGTTCACATTTTAATTCATATTCCATCTTTTCACACTTCACAGTCCGTCGTCTGTAAGACTTTGTGTATAATATCATATGGTCTTGTAGCTGTTCCTCGTTTTCAAACATTGATCCGCAATTCGGACAGGTAATTCTGTATGCGTTGTAATGGAATGTGTTTCTGTGATTTTTAAGGCCAGATGCGGTATTAAAACGTTTATTGCAGAACTCACAGCAGTATCTTAAGAGCTTTTTGTGTGAGCGTACATGGTTTACAAAAGATTTGTAGTTGCTAATAACTTTACTACAGTCCGAACATTTGAATATGCAGCAACGAGTGTGAATTTGTAACGCATGTAAGCGTAAGGACATTATATTCTTGCATTGCGCATCACATTCAGCACAGCGGCACATATACTCGTCCCAAGTTATGGCTGGAAATGGGATTGCGCCTTTTGGATCATCCGGATCTATTCCTAACTCTACATTTTTTAGCTTCTTTTTCTTTTTCAGCTTTTTTTTCTTAGCCGCCATATAGAGAGGAGTATCACTGTCTGTGGAATTGAAACCATCAGACGCTGGAGCCCCCTCAACATCGCTAGCTTGCTCAATTTTAACAGCATTCAGATCTAACAACGAATTTGGGTCTACAGTAACAATTTGTAACGTATCATTAACAATTTCCGGTTTTACTTCCGTCTTCATGTTCTCGAAGTCCTCCCAATCAACATTAATCGGTTTCCCATCATCGTTTGCCGTGATTTTAACATCGGTATCCGAATTTTCGCTGTCACTTTTCTTTAAGAATATTGAGTTTAGTTTTGCTTGCGCTAACCTTACGTTGTGCAAAAACGACCAAGTACGTTCTAGAAGGTCGAAGCATGAAAAACAAATGCATCTAGGAAGAGTATCTGTGGTAGAAATATCAACATTTATCCATTCTAGTTTGTTGGTTATTTTGGAATTTATTCCCACGTCTCCGTCTGGTGATATAAGCGTCTCCTTCGTAGTTGGCTCTGCGCATAGCCGGCAATAATCTTCCCCTTCGTCACACATCTTTAATTATCAACTGAATCCACTTAACATTGGATAATTTGTTTATTTTTCAGAAAAAGTATAGCCTCCGAATCCAATACAATGATAAACAACCATTTTGACAAGACGCGATGGTGTTGCCAAAGCCGTTATTGAAATGGTACGGTTTGTAATGAGATTAGTTTATAAATTTATTTTGTAGCTTAAAAATTTATGTACATAAAGTAATAATTTACTTGTTTTTATAATTTAAATTTTAATAACCATTTTATTTGAAAAGCTATTTTTATTTGCTTCATTCTAGCGACATCTATAAGCTTAATTTCGTATCACAGCTAGCAGCAATAGTTTGTTTTCTTGTCACTAGATGCCAGCATTTTTTATTACAGCACAGCAGATATTTTTTTCTTACACTGATGCGTTTTACTCTGTTTTCTATAACACAGACAATAATAATTATGTTAAAAATAAGCTAAAAATTATTTAACTTGAATTCCGAATGTATGAAGTCGGTTAAAAAGGTTTTTAAACAGTGCCAAACCACTGAGCTGCTGTAACTGCTGCTGTGCATTTATTTTGAAGCATTTAATTTAGAGCAAATTTTTTATCAAAGACTTGATACCTAGGTTCTCACATAGCACAGAAATTGTATAAAATAATATTTATTTGTTAAAATATAGACGTCTTTTTAGAGGAAAAATCGCCCAAAGAATTTTCCGGCCTTGGTTGAGCCGAAAGAGTGTCAGACGCTTACTGACAAAACTCCACCCAGTTCCTACTCCAGCTAACGGGAGCCCGCTTACCAGTAACCCAGTAAGGATAATACATAAACAAGTCAATACATAATTAGCTTAAGTCACTTTCCATCCCAAGAAAAAGCCAAATTCCCATGAGCTATGCGAACTATTCTGAAATTTTCCAGACCAATACGTATTATAGCACTCAGTAGCGATGATATCAAATAACATAGTATCTATTTGGATTCAATGTGTACGAGAATTACAATATATACTCGCATGGCATACTAAACAGAGCCTTCATGGCAATGACCCCAAGTTATTTTACTATAGGTAATGCTTTACGTTTATCTAAAAACTAGCTGCCTGCCTCGTTGGCCGAGTGGTCGCTAGTGCGACTGCGGGCAAGGGGTCTCGAGTTCTATTCCCGAGTCGGGCAAAGTATTACTGGGTTTTTAAAAAAATTCTCAGTAGCAGCACGGAGTCTGGAATTGTGCCCGGTATATGGCCTGAATAGGCTCACCCCCTATTACATGGGACTCATAACATAAATAGTGAAAAGTGGGTGTTACATTGTACAGTGGCATAATGTGCATCTCTGCCTACTCCTTCGGGGATAAAAGACGTGATGTTATGATGATGACATTATTATTTAGTAATATTTATCATCCATACGAAGCGATCCGACAGAGAACCAAAATTATCGATATAGCCCAAAAGATCTGAAGTGGCAGTGGGCCGGTCACATTTGTCGAAGAACAGATAACCGTTGGGGTAAACGTGTTCTAGAGTGGAGACCGCGTCTAGGCAAACGTAGTGTAGGGCGCCCTCCAGCTACGTGGAGTGACGACATCTGCAAGATGGCTGGCAGTGGTTGGATAAGAAGAGTTGAAGACCGAGCTCAGTGGCGTGCCATTGGAGAGGGCTATGTCCAGCAGTAGACGAATACAGGCTGATTATGATGATCATCTATACTATTTAATGTATCTACCTCTCTATACTAATATTATAAAGAGGAAAGATTTGTACCTATTTTTGTATGTTTGTAATGAATAGGCTCAAAAAATAATGGGCCGATTTAAAAAAATCTTTCACCAATAGAATGCTACATTCTTCCAATTTGACATAGACTATATTTGATTTTGAAAAAAATTAGGGATCCTTGGTAAAATTTGAACAATGTAACCGAAGGTGTAGAAAAATGAGTCTTAAAACGTCTTTCGTCGAATGCGCTGCCGAAACTATTAGCGATAGAACAAAATAATGTAAGTACAACAATATTGAAGAACATCATAATGTCTGCAAAAAACTCCGCGGTAGCATATGTTCAACTACTGTAGTTATGTCACTACAACAATCTAAATATCCAAAAATAGATAATTGTCTACCCCGTGCGAAGCCGGGACGGGCTGCTAGTCTTATATAATTTACTTTTGCATCACCCCATGGTTGACTGTTAGAGAATGCCACTCGGCATTAAGTCCGCCATCGTATGTTATATACAGAAGTGTCAATAAATAAATAAATAAATAGATATAGGTACATACGTTTGTCTGTTTTTCCCCTTAAGATTATATCAGTTTTTGTGGTTGCGGTTATCTTCAGAATATTTTCAAAAAACTTTCACAATTTTTTTGAATTAGTCACATTGACATAAATACATTATGTATGTATGTATGTATGTATGTATGTATGTATGTATAAGACCTTTTTTACCTTCGCAAGTAGGTACAGTTATTTTTTACGAACATATAAAATACTTATTGAGTGTGTATACCTACCTACTTCGCAATTCGGGTAATGATAGGAACGATACGTCGGGTCAGGTTAGGAATAGGATTACGTTCGGAATACATATCAATTATTTTTTCAAATTCCTGACCTAACCCACCACCGGGTCAGGTTAGCGGGTCAGGTTCGGAATAATCCGTTTTTTTTAAATTTATGGTTATATTTTTACGCGAACATATTACTTTTTATAAGCTAACGTCAGGGCCTGTAATGCTGCGGACAAGTTAAGGTTGCTGGGACTCCGGCTCGAAGTGCAGGAGCAGGAACGGGGTCGTGTTTAGTCAGTAATAGTCTGACACTCCCTCCCGCCTCACTTAAGGCGGGAGAAGTCATTGGATGATCTACCCTTTCATTGGCAGTCGTTCTTGCGATCACTTGTATAATTAATCAGTTTAAAAACTCCTCAGTAGTAGCACGGAGTCTGGAATTGTGCCCGGTATATGGCAATAGGCTCACTCCCTATTACATGGGACTCAAAACATAAATAGTCAAAAGTGGGTGGTATATTGTACAGTGGCATTCAGTGCCGTAATGTGCACCTCTGCCTGCCAGATAAAAGGCGTGATGTTATGTGTATATTTCGGTACCTATCATAAATATATAAATAAGTATTATTAACATTAAGTTTAAGTAGCTTACTATTTATATTTTAACTAACTATGTCAAGCCAATTCCAAGGTTAATGATGTTTATTCACATTGACACCATTTTCTATATTTTCGAAATACACAGTAATAGCTCAGATTCTGGTAAAATATTCATTAATACTGAACACTTTCGGCTCAAAGTCCTTTACAGCCTGATACTTGAAATGATATGAAGTAAAAAGCAAATCAACGTCATGTTTTGCCGGTAACGAAACCATAGCTTGAGTGTAAATCGGCCAACGCCATCTATCGAGCTATGGTATAATAATAAAAACCATCCCCATAGTATTATCCAGCACAGGAGTCATTCCAAAAACTCTACGCAATAGCCTGAATTCATTAAATATTAGCCCATCAACTTATCTCCTCTTACAAAAAGCCGTTATTCTGAATACATGCCGTCTTACCCGCAAGTATTTAAATACCCAAGTATAGCACTTCTATTTAGCACTTGGCTTCGGCCCGTGCCTGTTTTAACCCCACTCGATGGGAGAAATGTATAGCATAAACGGAAATAATAATAATAAACATTTATTTCAGTAACTGGTTCCATATTTTGTTAGTTAATGCTTTATATCTAATGTTAGTAAATAAACTAAACTATCGGGTAATTATATAAATTTAAAATTAAAACTTAGTGTACCCGCTAGAGATTCTCCCATCCCGGTCTATTTTACTGCATGGAGTCGTACCGCCAACGTCTTCAGGATAGTGTTGGGGCCACAGAAATATTTCTTTATTATATCTGTGGTTGGGGCTAACTCTGATAAAAACTTAATTTTAATTAGTAGGTAGTATGGCGTTGGCCGAGTCCATCTTTAACTAAGATTATTTCTTTTGAATAGACACAATAGATACAACTTCGAGACGAGTTGACGGTTTAGAGACGGTTTATTTCCAACAGGTCTGAAAAAAGTTATTATTAAACCCCTTTATAAAAAAAATTACAAAACTTGCCTTCAAAACTATAGGCCTATTGCAAAGATATCTGTATTTTCAAAAATTATTGAGAAGGTAGTTTATAATTCTATATATTCATATTTTGAAAAATTCAATCTTTTCTGCAATGAACAGAAAGGATTTAGAAAAAATACAAATATTAATATGGCCTTGTTCGACTTCATCTCTAACGTAATGGCATCCATAGATAAACGAAATCCTGTTTGTGCTATATTGACTGATATGACAAAAGCGTTTGATTTTGTTAATCATAAAATTCTGCTGCAAAAATTACAGGGGTATGGAGTGAGAGGTAATATTCTGAAACTCATAGAATCATATCTGAGTAACCGATCTCAATGTACAGAAATCACCAGAATATGCCCTGCTACTAAATTAGAGAAAAAATATTTATCTAAACCAAGGTTTACAAGATATGGTGTACCACAAGGCAGCGTCCTGGGGCCACTACTTTTCTTAATTTATATTAATGATCTCCCCAAAACTATAGATCACAAAATGGTGTTGTTTGCAGATGACAGCACTGTTATTGTGGAATGTAATAATTATAATAATTATCAAAATGACATAAATAATTCATTGAATGACATTATAAATTGGCTTGACATTAATAATCTTATAATTAATTTAAATAAAACAAAAGTTGTACATTTCCACCAACGTCGTAAACACTTACCGTTTAATGTAACTTATAATAACTGTATAGTGGAGGAAGTTACAAGTGCGAAATTCTTAGGCATTACCATAGATAATAAATTAACTTGGAGACCTCACTTAAATGAAATATGCACGCGTCTCAGTAAGTCTGCATATCTTTTATTCCAATTAGCCAAGAAAGTTGATACTAATACACTTCTTACGGCCTATCATGGATTGGTCGCCTCTATTATAAGATACGGTATTATTTTTTGGGGGCATTCGATTGATAGGGAACTTATATTCAGAAGGCAAAAGAGGTGCATTCGGTCTATGTGCGGTCTGA